ACAAGGATCTATCGTTTGTTGAGGAGACAGTGGCGATATTGGACAGGCAGGTTCGAAAGCTGAGGTCAAAGAACATTGCATCAGTGAAGGTTTAGTGGCGTGGTCCGCCGGTCGAGGAGGCGACTTGGGAGATAGAGCATGATATGTGCAGCCGTTACCCTCATCATTTTACTACTTTAGGTATATCTCTATGCTTATTCGAGGACGAACGAATATTTTAAGGGGAGGATGTAACGATCCAGCCGGTCGTTTTAAGAATTAACGCCCTGATCCCCTATTAACTGCTTTCCCCGTGTTTGTTTCTGCTATTGTGAGTTGCCAGGAAGATTCGTTTTGAGTGTCGTAGTGTTTTGGGACACTTTGTCCCTAAATGAGAGCTTAAGCTTTAGAATTTAGACGATAGTCAGAGCAGTGTGAAGACGGCCTTGGAATGGGATTCTGTCGATTCCATTAGCTCTATTGGATGATTTTGGGCTTAGGGGCATGTTCGGATTGTGTTTTGGAGGTCCGCAGCTTATTTAGGCTTGAAATGCCGAAAGTTGAATTTTTGAAGTTTCTGGATCGATAGTGAGATTTTGATTTTGGGGTTGGAATCCGATTCTAAAAGTTAGAATAGCTCCGTAGTGTTGAATGTGACTTCTGTGCAAAATTTGGGGTCAATCGGACATGGTTTGGTTGACTTCAACATCGGTTGTAGGATTCTTGAAGTTTCAAGTTCTTTAGGCTTGGATTGGAGGTTGATTCGTGGTTTTAGCGTTGTTTGATGTGGTTTGAGAGTTGGACTAAGTTTGTATGATGATTTAGGATAGGTTGACATGTTTGGTTGAGGTCTCGGGGGCCTCGGGTGAGTTTTAGATGCTTAACGAATTGGAAATTGGACTTAGGCAAAATTTGAGGTTGATGAACCTATCATAACCGCGCCTGCGTGTGTGGGACTGCAAGTGCGGCGCCGCAGAAGCGGGAATAGGCCAAGGCTCCGGGAACCGCATGTGCGGTTGGGTGACCGCAAATGTAGAACCGCAGATGCGGCCAAGTGACCGCAGATGCGGACCTAGCTCACTAAGTGAATTTCGCACCTGTGGTGCCTTTTCCGTAGGTGCGGGACCGCAGGTGTGTCCCCATGACCGCAGATGCGGAAATCACGGAGCAGAAATATGAAATTTCGAGGGTTTGAGTTCATAACTTGGAAAATCAAATTTGGATCTCAGGGTAAGGCGATTTTGGGAGGGTTTTGAAGAGAAAATTAGTGGGTAACGATTCCTAATCCCTTTCTAGTTGTATTCCATTAATCTAATCTTAGTTTTGTCATTTAATTTCGGATTTGGGGTGAAAAATTGGAAGAAAAGAGGAAAAGTTCCCCAACCAAAAATCTGAGTTTTGAGGGAGATTTTGGCATCAGATTTTGATGATTTTTGTTCGAATGTGCTAGTGAGTAAATGGGTATTCATAATCCGTAACTTTTACCCGATTCCGAGACGTGGGCCCGGAGAGGATTTTGGGCATTTCTATTTTCTTGTCTTAGCTTCGATTTCATTAGTTAAATTAGTTGTTTGTAGTTATATTTACGTTATGATATTAATTTGACTAGATTTGGGCACCTGGAGTTGGATACTTGTGGCAAGAGCGTGATTTTGGATTGATTTTGAGCCGGTTCAAGGTAAGTGGCTTGCCTAACCTTGTGTGGAGGAACTTCCCTTAGGATTTTGGTATTGTTTTTATATGAATGTCGTGTATGTGAGGTGCCGAGTGCGTACACGTTCTAATTGTTGAAAAATCCCGTTTTTATCAAGTAAATATTTGTGTTTTTTTCTTGTTTGCAATACTTGTACTTGAAGCCTCTTGTTTAGCTTAGGGAAAGCATGCTTATATGTTCTAATTGTCTTACCTGCTTTAACTTCTTACTTGTACTTTGTATAGCATGTTTAGAGTAGAATTCTTGTTTATTCACGAATAGAACTGTAGGTTCTTTCTTGATACTGTTGTTTGTTTTACTTTGGGATTACGGGACGATATCCCGAGAGATCCCCCTGCATGTTTACTTTGGGACTACGGATCGGTATTCCGGGAGATCCCTCTGCACATTTATATTTGGGACTACAGGACGACACCCGGGAGATTCCCCTGTACTGGATATTTACTTTAGGACTACGGATTGGTATTTTCGGGAGATCCTCTGCACATTTACGTTTGGGACTACGGGACGATATCCTGGGAGATTCCCTGTTGCTATCTCTGTGTACTGAGCTACATTCTTACTGTGATTTTATTCTCTATCAACTATTTGTGCTTTAAATATACTATTACATTTCATACTGTTTTACCTTGTTATATATATATATATATATATATATATAACCAGTATGGCCCTGACCTTCTTTGTCACTACTCGATCGAGGTTAGGCTTGGTACTTATTGGGTACCGTTGTAGTGTACTCATGCCCTTTCCTGCACATGTATTTCGTGTGCAGATCCAGGTTCTTCGGCTCAGCCATACTATCAATGAGGCGAGGCAACCTTCAGAGACTTCGAAGTATATCTTCCGCATCCGCAGACCGAGGAGTCCCTCTCTATTCTTCCTTCTAGCTTTAGACTTCCTGTATTTACTTTTGTTTAGACATTTTGGAGTTAGAACACTATGTAGTTATTTTACAGCTTGTGATTTCATGAGATTCCGGGTTTTGGGAGTTTGATTCAGTTTTGAGAGTATGTATTGTATATGCCGAGCGACATTGTTAAACTCTTTATTTATGTTTTTACTCGTATCTTGCCAATTTCGTATTTTATTTCCTTTTTCTGCAATATGTTAGGCTTACCTAATCGTAGAGACTAGGTGCCGTCACGACAGTTCACGGAGGAAGAACTTGGATCGTGACATCATGTATGATATTACCTCACATGTATAAAGTTATTAAGAATATTTAATAATTCTAAATAAGTGAATAACCTTAGTGATAACCATTATTTATTCATATATTCTTATTTAAGACAAGAGAGGTTGCTTTGATGGTAAGCAACGTCCACTTCCAACCAAGAGGTTGTGAGTTCGAGTCTCCCCAAGAGCAAGGTGGGAAGTTTTTGGAGGGAAGGATGCCGGGGGTCTATTTTGGAAACAGCCTCTCCACCCCAGGGTAGGGGTAAGGTCTGCGTACACACTACCCTCCCAAGACCCCACTAAGTGGGATTATAGTGGTTGTTGTTGTTGTGTTATTTATACACTCTAATATATTGTGAGAAAAATAATATGCTCATATTATTATACAAACAATGCCCAAATATTTGATTCAGTGTGTGACCGTAGATTATTCTGAATAGACCACAATGAATCCAAAATTGGATTCAAAACTTCTTGGCAAGTAAATTGCCTCGTTGCCAGACGCCACTAGTCCACACAATCAAATATAATGGGTCATTTTCCTTTTTCTTTTCACTTTTTAAAATTAAAATAGATGATTGACCAATACCTTCCCGAGGCGAGGTGGGTCACCTCCTCCTCCTCATTGTAGCATCACAAAATCTCTTGGTAAGGGAGGCTCCATGTCTGGTGGAAGAGACACCACCAGCAGTAAAAAGGTTGCTTGAGGCTTGACTAACTGACACACTGACCAGCATCCTCCATAATCCCTCTCAGGACACGGCTACAGAAAACGTAAGGACTTGCGTTATACGACCAGCGGACGAGCAGCATGACAAATTTCCTCCCCCTCCTTCAGTGGCAGGTATTACTCACAATGTCGTTAATAGTGAAGGTGACGATACTCTCGCAGCCATCCTGAAAAGAATGGAGAACAAAGCACTTCGGGACCAAATGACATAACACCAAGAAAGGGTCGATAAGATACCGGGTGCCCCTAAGATCTTGCCAAAAAGAGATGTTGGTCAGTTCGTCGAGCAGCCGTATAGTGATGACGCCACCTCATATGCCATACCAAAGACCATTAAAATGCCGCCCTATCTGAAAATATATGAAGGAACGACCGAACCCGAAGACCATGTGACTCATTACATCACCGCCGTGAAAGGCAATGATCTCTCCAAGGAACAAGTTTCCTACATTTTGTTGCGAGATCCTCACGGGAGGAGTGTTAACATGGTATTCACAACTGTCTGCGAGTTCCGTTGAAACTTTCGAAGAAATGGCCGACAAATTCATAACGGCCCATGCTAGGGCCAAGAAGGCTGAGGCGAGAGTTAACAACATATTTGCTATTAAACAGTCTCCGGGAGAGGGATTGAGGGATTTCCTCCATGTGACTCATTACATCACCGCCGTGAAAGGCAATGATCTCTCCAAGGAACAAGTATCCTCCATTTTGTTGCGAGACCCTCACGGGAGGAGTGTTAACATGGTATTCACAACTTTCTGCGAGTTCCATTGAAACTTTCGAAGAAATGGCCGACAAGTTCGTAACGGCCCATGCTGGGGCCAAGAAGGCTAAGGCGAGAGTTAACAACATATTTGCTATTAAATAGTCTCTGAGAGAGGGATTGAGGGATTTCCTCTCCTGCTTCAACCGAGTAAGAATGACCTTGCCGACTGTATCGGAAGGGATGGTGGTCGTAACTTTTCAGAATGGGCTAAGTAGAAATGGTTCAAGGGCAATGAGAAAGTTATTAAGTCGGCTTCTGAAGTACCACCAACTACATAGGATGAAATACACAACACGTGTTGTGTCGAGTTCCGAGCAGAAGAGGACGACCTCAATGGGTCGACCCATCAATTGAACTCAGTACAAGCCGAATCCAGAAAAGATCGAAGAAATGATATCAGAAGGGACCTCGCAGCTCCGCGACCCAACAGGGAATGACATCTACCATATGTCAAAATCGCCATTGCGTGAACATCCCGCCACGAAGACGGCCCACCCAGATCAAGGGCAGGGACTCACCGGAACGAAAGAGGTATGCCCACTTTACTACCCGATCACAATTTTTATATGTCACCTACAAAAATAGTCTACCCCTTGGAGAAACTCGGACCAAAAGTGAAGTGGCCACAAAAGATGAGGTTAAACCCGTGTACCACAAAATCAGATGCCCTTTACGAGTTCCACCAAGAACGAGGACACAAAATCGAGGATTGCATCGCCCTAAGACAGGAGGTTATAAACATGCTACGACAAGGACACCTCAAAGAGCTGCTGAGCGATCGGGGAAGGACTACCTTTGCTAGAGGACGTGAACAACATCAGGGACCGCCGAAACTGCCCTTACCAACCCGCACCATCCACATGATCATCAGCAATGGCGACGATGCTTCCATTAACAGTGTGAAGTTCACCACAGCCCACAAGCTCAAACGATCAATAACCCACGAACGTTATGATGAACTCAAAGAAAGTATCATCTTCGATAAGTCAGACACTGACGATTTGGCTTTACCTCATTATGATGCCCTTGTTATCACTTTACAAATTTTAGATACCGATGTGAGACGCATTATGGTAGACGATGAGAGCGGCGCGTGCATTATACACCCTCGAGTACTTGCACAAATGAAACTCAAAAATAAGATAGTGCCACATTGTATCACATTAATGGGTTTTAACAATGCAGTTGAGCGAACATTTGGCAAAATCACACTCCCTATCCTGGCCGACGGCGTCACTCTGGAAATCGTGTTCTATATCATGGACCGAGTCATTTCATACAAGCCGTAATAGGACGACCATGGATACGCACCATAAGAGCCATCCCTTTTAGCTTGTACCAAGTCATAAAATTCCCAACTCCATGGGGAGTATTCAGTATACGAGGGGAACAACACACATCCTGGGAATGCTACCACATCACCCTAGATTGCTCGGTCACTCAACAAACGAAGGACAATGAAAAAGAGATATAGCAATTAACAGGGTCGAGGTCGATATGCAATGATAGCAATGACATCATCAGAGACCCCTTTACGATCGAAGCTATAGGGTTGACCGTAGAAAACCACGACCCCATTCAATTTGATATCAACAACCTCAACAAGAAAGCTTACATCGGCTGCAAACTTTAGGAACCGGGTAAGTTTCGTCAATTGTTAACTGCTAACGCATAATTGTTTGCTTTTAGCCATGCAGATATTCCAGGTATCCAAAAAGAAATCGCCACGCACAGACTGAACGTCGATCCATTCCACCCCCAGTGAGACAAGTTAGGCGTAAGTGCAACTCCATAATTAATGACACAGTATGCGAAGAGGTGGAGAAATTATTGGAAAACGGCTCCGTCAGGGAGTCGAAATACCCCAATGGGTCGCCAACGTGGTCATGGTGAAAAAGAAGAATGGGAAATGGTGGATGTGCATATATTATAACAAAGCATGCCCCAAGGATTCATTTTCATTACTTCATATCGACCAACTCATCGACGCAATGGCCACAAATCAACTACTGAGTTTTTTGGACGCCTACTGGGCTATAATTAGATCCTCATGGAAGAAGAGGATCAGGAGAAATCGCTTTCATCACCCACCAATAGGGCTGTGCATGGATTGGATCGGATTTAGCACATTTCGGATTTGAATTTCGGATTTCGGATTTCGGATTCTAGAAAATGCAATCCGAATTCGATCTGAATTATATCGGATTGGATCGGATTTTAAAGTTTGGATCGGATCGGATTTCGGATCGTATTATTATGCCTCAAAGTTAAACTAATATATATATTTTCTTTGTAAAAGAAGCAATACATTAAGAAAAATTCATGTTTATGCAATTATGAGAGTACTATGGTGCCAATATAGCTAAATCTAGCAATTGTAAAGGTAATAACTTGGAGGTTGATGTAAAGGAAGTACTGACTATCCGAAATTAAAGTGTAGTATTTATACATTCCCTAATAATTTCGGATTTCGGATCAGATCGGATTAAAATATACCAATCCGAATCCAATCCGAATCTTATCCGAAATCCAAAATTTTAAAATACCAATCCGAAATCTGATCCAATCCAAAATCCGAAATCCGAAATTGAATGGATCGGATTTTAGATATCCGATCCGAATGAACAGCCCTACCCACCAGGGTACGTACTCCTACAGGGTCATGCCCTTCACATTGAAAAACGCAAGGGCAACTTACCAAAGATTAGTGATGAGATTGTTCAAAGACCAACTCGGCAAAATGATAGAAGTCTATAAAGATAAAATGCTGGTCAAGTTCAAAAGGAAAGAATATCACATCGATCACCTAAGAGAAACCTTCGACATACTCAAACGGTACAGAATAAAATTGAATTCCGAAAAATGTGCATTCAATGTGGCCTCAGGAAAATATCTAGGTTTCCTGGTGTCGTAGCGAGGGATCGAGGTCAACCCTAATAAAATAAGAGCCATCAAAGGGATACCAGAACACCTGACCACCAAAAAACAGTTTCAGAAGTTAACTGGCCGTATCGCCGCTCTTTCAAGATTTATTTCGTGATCATCATATAAGTGTCACAGATTCTTTGGTGTACTCAAAAAGGATAACAGTATCCAATGGACTTCTGAGTACGTCCAAGCCCTGAAGGAATTAAAAGCATATTTTTCATCGCCACTATTACTTTCAAAACCAAATCCGGGGGAACATCTCCTCTTCTACCATGCCCTATCCAAAAAAGTGGTAAGCACAGTCCTGGTCCGAGAAAACAAAGGTACGCAGTCTCCCATATATTACATTATCAAAAGACTAGTCGACGCCGAGACGGGATACCCTCACCTCGAAAAACTAGCTCTGCATTTAGTCGTAGCTTCACGTAATCTTAGACTGTATTTCTAATGCTACCCCATCTCGGCTGTCATGACTTTCCCCTTAAGAAGCATTTTGCATAAACCTGAGCTATCGGGCAGGTTGGCCAAATGGGCTATCGAACTGAGCAAGCATAATATCACATATCAGCCGTGAATAGTGATAAAGTCACAATTCCTTGTAGACTTTGTCGCAACACAAAAATAATGCCTGGAGTCAAAAGAGAAGTCGTCCATGCTTCTCCCCAAGCACGAGACCTCTAGGTCTTGTAGTACACCGATAGCGCATCCAATGCGTTAGGGTCCGGACTGGGACTTGTACTCGAAGTCCCAACCGGAAAAGTGACTAACTGTTACAACCCATATCCACATGTGTTAGTTCATGCCATATATTAGTTAACATAAATCCAAGAAGGAATTATCTTTGAGATGATAAGAAGTCAATCCTATTGGTCTTAAGTGATACAAGAGTGTATAAGGGTGATTAACCAGTATTAGAAGTTAAACGAATCAAGGATGTTGTAACTCGTATTTTCAGGTAATCTAGCGGTGCTTAATACACTCAAGAGGTCATTTATTAAGGTATTTTAATCATATAATATCCGTATCATAAGTCTTGAAGTCAAACGAGTTATGAAACAAAAGTCGACAAAAGTTGTCGCAACTTAGGTTCATAATTTTACTTAAATATTGGGTCAAATGTTTCTAATCTTTTCTCATAATTTACAAGGAATTACGGGGTTATCTACCAACAAAATTATAGATCTATGAGTCTAGTTTCCAATGCATTAAACCGTTCATCGATACGATCTCGGAGTAGAGAGATATTCGCGTTTTCGCGAGACTGCGCCAAGAACCTCTCTATGGGACCCACTAAGTCGGTTTAAGATATTTGGACCTATATAGGATGCCTCCAAC